TACTCGGACCAAGTTTTTCCACGCCTCGATCGTTGCCTTACCACTACTAGGGGTTTGGTTGTATTAGTTGTGGTGTTCTGGTTAGAGTAGATTAGTTAGGTTTAGTTTTATTAGTGTTGCGTTGTAGTGCATATCGGCATTATCTAGGACCAGAGGATTATATTTCGCCTTTTACAACGTACAGTACATATCAGATATACGTAATACGTTACGTACGTACTTGCATCTTATTAACCGATCATTTCTGAAATTAACTATATTAATATTAATATTTGTTCATGTGCATAGTTTCCGCACGGTTCGGTTAGATCCGAGTTTGCGTAGAACTGGACTCAACCCGATTTTTCTGTTCGGATATAGGCTTACACCCGGAATCAAGCCATCAAGACCTGGAACCGAACCTATGCTGACAGCTATGACAAATATTTATAGCAAAATGACTTGCAGCTGTTTTCGTAAGTTTTGTGATAGCGATAGGAGAAAATTTCATACAGTCAAAAACTCGAAAAATCCATTAATTGGTCGTGTTGTGTGCGATTTGCGATATAATTTTTTGTGACAAATAATGCTTAAGATATTATTTATGCGTGAATGAGATACGTAACAGATAATTCATGTGATGTTTATAATAAAACGTACTAAAATAATTTGGTTTTTTTTTTATATTATATAGAATGTTTAAATATGTAAAACCGAAAACAAGGTCAAAGTCCGAAATACATTAGTAATATCTGCTATTGATAAACTATTTTAATTTTTCATTGAGTTAATACTTTTAACTAGATCATAATATAAATAAAATTTAATATTCTACAAAACAAAAATTGGGTAATGCTTTAAAATTGATTTATGTACCGTTCCTGATAGAGTTCTAAAAACTATACTACTATCGAATAAAGCCATGGCGTAAAAATATGATAGTCGCATTATTACCACTCAATCTGATTGTAAAAACCAACTTATTTCTAATTAATGGGTATTTTTTTTATTAGATAATCCAAAATTAATAAACCATGTGCTGGAATTGTGTTGTACAGGAGTGGGTAAAAGTAGATTTCTAGTTTAGATTATGGTGACATTAATTGTAATAATGATTGTTGATAAGCAATCAAGGAATAAATAAACAGGAGGTTTAATAGTAATAGATGTACGACCAAACTTTTATTTCATTATTCGTAAACAAAACTTGTACAACCGTCCTCCCATAAAATCACACAGTTGGACACATTAGTAGTGTATAGTGATGGGACTAGAGGGGCTAAAAATTAAAATATCATACGTTGTGACCTATGTATCACCGATTTTTATCCCCCCTAGTCCTATCACTTGCTATATAAACGAATGTAAATTTATTTTGGGGATGAATTCAAAGGGCGAACATTTTCTTAAACGAAGGGCGAAAACACTCCCTTAAATACGTTCTAACTTCCATAACGCTATCACTAAGATTATATAGATGTTGATGTCGAAATTTTGGTTTTGATGCATATGTAAATTTTGTGATGTATGTATATATGTACGCACTTAATCATCAATAATACATGATAAGGTTGTGCATGGAAAGTGTAATTTTAATTATTTTAACTAAAATTACCGTATGGAAATGTTAAGTCAATAAAATAATTTAAAAATTATTAATTGCTTGTTTGCCTTTCATACACGTAGAATCCAATAATATGTCGACAGTAATCAACACTCTAAAAGTTTAAGTTTTTATTACATAAACATTATAGAAGGAAATAATTCTTAATATAATAGGTACCTCATTCATAAAATTTCAACTTTAATTATTCTTTTTATTTTAATTTCCGTCAATTGCTGTAATGTTAAACTAAACCTAATAAACCAAATCCCAATCAGTGAGACTCAATTCGCGGACTGATTTGACTTGTAACTTCGACCAGGTTTATTAAGGCTCGGATTCCAGTACATTTTAAAAATCAGATATTTAAACCCTACCCAGATTAGTTCTTATACCATCGGAGCCAAATTAGTCTATTGTCTATACCGTTCTCTTAGCTCTCCCATTTAACGGTTACACTATTTACTATTTAATTTAAATATATTAATTTAGCAAAGTATAATAAAAAATTTATTAATTTAAGCCTATCTTTTTCCGTTTCAAGGCTTACACGTAGAAAAGTAGACAACTAAAAACTTTATTGATTTTAAATTAATAAATATTACATTTTATTTTAAGTTATATGATTTATAATTACGCTTACGTTTGCATTTACATTTGTAATATTTTAATAATTGGATTATTAGATTTTATAATTAAATTAATATTATTATGACGAACATTCAATTCTTTCAGTGTAGTGTTCTTGCAAAGTGCATCTGCTAATGCTTTTCCTCCTTATGATCCAAGTTTATTACCGATAAGATCCAGAGAAATCAATGTTATATTCTTGCAAAGTGCACTTGCTAACGCTTTTCCTTCTTCAGATCCAATATCATTCCAACCAAGAATCAAAGAAGTTAAGGTGGTGTTCTTGCAACGAGCATCAGCTAATGCTTTTCCTACCTCAGATCCAAGTTGATTCCAACGAAGACGTAATGAAATCAACGCCGTATTCTTGCAAAGTGCGTCAGCTATTGCTTTGCCTCCTTCTAATCCAATATTATTATCACTAAGACCTAAATCTTTCAATGTAGTGTTCTCACAAAGTGCATTGGCTAATGCTTTTCCACCTTCTGACCTAAGATTATTTTTGTAAAGATCCAAAGAAGTCAATGTGGAGTTCATACAAAGTGCATCTGCTAATGCCTTCCCCCCTTCTACACCAAGATTATTACTTTGAAGGTCTAAAAATGTCAGGGCGGTGTTCTTGCACAGAGCATTTGCTAATGCGTTTATCTCTTCAGATCCAAGATAATTATGTTGGAGATCCAAAAAAGTTAGTGTTGTATTCTTGCAAAGTGCATCTGTTAAAGTTGGTTTATTAATAAGTCTTAAGTATTTAATTTTACTTGCTCGCAGAAACATTGCAACTAAAGAGCATTTAATAGCATTAAAAAGTTTATCTTTTTCAAAACAATTTACATTATATCCTTCATTATTAAGCCAGTTGTTGATACCATAATCCAAACGAGAACCAACAGATGTAGTATAACTTTCGTACTGAAATAATGGCCTTGGATAATTTGGAAGAATAATTTTAAAGGGAATTAATAAAGCTTGCTCTTCAGTATTTAATGCTAAAAGATATATTCTTATAAGTCTTTTATCGCAGAAATAATTTGTAGGTTCACTCCATAATATTGGTATAATAATTCTACACCATTGACGGTTTACAAGAAGGCATGAAAATAAATTTTTATAATCAGTTCGAAAATTATTAAATAGTTCGAAAAAGCATTCGTTCGGTAGCTTTATCATTTGAAGGAATTACGAATTTAGTATAACGGTAAAAAATCGGGATTTGCTTCCATTATATAACCAATGGAAAATGTTGTGAAACGTTGTATTATAACCCAGAAAATGAATGGCGTCTTATAGGCTGAAGCATTAATATTATTAGGCCTGAATTTTTGGTTTGTCTTTAAACTTTGTGAATATATATTCTTCGTGCTTGTAATTAATTCATTTTATTTCTATGACCAATTGAAAAAAAATCAGATGAACCTTTTGATAAGTCTAAATATTATAAAGCAAGTAGAGATTTATCAATTCCAGGATTTTATTATTATTTGACAAAATAATTTTATGTTCGCTTGCATTTTTTAAATTATTGAAAATGAACTAATAATAAATATATGACGAATTGGATCAAATTTTTTCTTTAGTATTACTACTGTATTTCAATGTCGACCAAATTTTGTTTCAATATACGTTTTAGTAATTAATTTTATCGAACCAAATAACTTATAGCAATTTTTAAATTTAAGGTTCACGATTGCAGTAGTAGGTAAATTAATTGTTTTTAACAGTGGATAAATTATTAATTTCAGTAATAGATAACCTTACATTGTTATTAATATCATAGAAATTATAAACATAGTAAAATCACTAAAGTTTAGGACTTTAACAATAAGAAAATTTCTTATTCGAACTAGAGATTGGAGACGATGAGTTTCGAGCATCGTTTGGTCACAAACTCTAGATTTTCAAACATCGATGAAAATTTTTTCGAAAATTCAAATTTCATTGAGTTGTTTAAAATCTTAAAAATGTAACATATAAATAAAATTTAATACTGTATGATATTAAATCCATCAATTATTTAATCCCATTTTATGTGTCAGAAACATTATTATACTTAGTAGCTTTGGATTTTATAACGTTCTCTTCTCACTTGAAAAATTACCTGCATCCGATCACTTTGCGTACTTATTGCAAGAATTGCAAGAAAATTTTGTGCCATTTTCACTTAAAATAAGGAAATGCAAGACTACCATATTGTCACGGTGTATTTTACGCAAATAATTTCTTTACTTTTTTTTTCAATAATAATTTTGGCATATATCAATAATCGTATGATCAATTACTTAAGTAGCTATAAACTGTAAGATTAAGTGACTATAAATCGTACGATCAATTAAGTAAAATTGTATGATCAAAAAACAAATACGGCCATATATATGCATAATTAATTTATATATTATACCTAACAGGTTAAAATATAAGTCGAGAGATAATTTCTTAATTTAATATTATTCAAGCGATTTTAGTTCTCGTCTCGCCTTTTTCTCTTAATATAAAGATCATTTTTCTATCCAGATTTTAACCAATTTTTACATTAAGTTACAACATGAAGTTTCTAGCACTGGTACTCATTCTCATTTGCGCGATTCATCTTGCCTCTTCCGACGATGTACAGAACTGTGTCAATGCAGTCGTGAGAACTATAAATGTCCCACAAGCCGTTGCAGGAACTCTTGAAGATCTTATCAATTGCCTTAATATATGTCACTCTAAACCAGGATTTGAAAGCTGTTTGAATAATTGTAATCCGTTTCTTGCAGATTTATTAGCCTTTGTTCCAGCAACAACAGGCGTTAAAATACTTATCGGGGCCTATAACAATGTTGCTGGTTGTTATGGTTACATTACAACTGCTGTTACCTGGATTCTTAGAAATATCTATAATATGGTAGAGGGGGGAGTTATGGAATCGATTTGTCAGCAACTTCTTAATGATCCCAACAACAGAGAGTTTTATGATATATTATGTATAGTAGAATAGCTGCACACAAAATCAGAAATAGTGTGTGAAGTATTATATTTAAAAAAATATAATAGGATCGTTTACTATTAAAATGTGTAAAATAAATTAAATTTTTTAGGTTTTACAAAATTTAATATACAAATTTAAACTATTTTATCTGCAAATATTAAAGGTTTTTTTCATGAATGGATGGCAAAATTAATTTTCATAACGTTGTTAAAATTCTTAGTGAAAATGTTTGAATTCGTTATGTCAAAATACATTAGATAGTATGGTTATATAAACAACTAGCAATGTCGATGTGTTTGTCGAAATTGCTTTTTAAAAAATAATTCAGACACCTACGTATAATTATGCCAGGCACCATGTCCCTTATGCCATGCTTATACCTATAGGATATAAATGCCAAAACTCTTATAGAAATAGACACAAATGCTAGATACTATGTAAAAATTTTAATAAAAACTAGGTATTTGAATGGTTTAATGGGAGTTGAAGATAAGTATAATATATAATAAAACGTTTATAATTGCATACTCTTGAAAATAATTTTTCCTAATATGTATTAGATAATAATAAGGAAATGTATATTTGTAAAGGTTATAATATATAAAAATTTATCTTTTAAACTGCTTAGCAGTCAAATATGTCTGCTAGAATATATTTTTTATATATTTTTTACAATAACTTGAAATTTTATTAAGCTTTCGTTCTTTTATTTCTAAGTTAAAATTAAAATTTAGAATATTTTTAGGGAATTGGTATTGCCACCCTCCATTTTTGTTAATGCCACCTCCTAAATAACCCTAACTGGTTTAAAATCTTAAAAATTCTACAAATAGCACAGGTCAAAATAAAGTATATCGGGTCATATCAGCATTTTTCAATCCTGATATGAGCCTGATATTAAACCGAAGTTTGGCAGAAATCGGATACCAATAGAAGACCAATCGGAGTTATATTGGCATAAATACATATCAGTTAAACTGATAGCTCTATAGAAATGTTGATATAGCTATCGACATTATATCCGATAGCTATATCAATATTTCTATAGAGCTATCGGTTTAACCGATATGTATTTATGCTGATATAACTCTGATTGGTCTCCTATTGGTATCCAGTTTCTGCCAAACTTCAGTTTAATATCAGGCTCATATCAGGATTGAAAAATACTGATATAACCCTAATATACTTTATTTTGACCTGTGTAGTATTTAGAAATAGTATGAATTCATGTAATTAATTAGTTAGCAGTTAGGATAAGCATTGTTTATAGAGTTTTCAAAAAAGTTAAAGGTTAATTGGAGATATGTAGGGGGTGGCATTAACAAAAATAGAGGTGGCAATAACAGTTCCCTATTTTTAATTATATATTAAGTAAAATTTTTAATTTAACTTTAGTAGTATTAAAAATATTTAGTTTGAAATATAATTAATTCTAAAATTTACTATAAAATTTTCAAAATAATTTTTATTAATTTTTAAATTTTTATATATTTTCATTCATAAAAAATTTTGTTTTTTTTTTTTTTTTTTTTTTTTAAGGTGAGGTTTTGCCTTTATCTTTATTGAATAATTTGTATTGAGAATCCACTAGGGG